AGAAACCATCCCAAAAAGGACCGTTGAGCGTGGTACCAGCCAAGTCCAAAAAGCCTAACACCGGCCTTGGCAGAAGGGTCAAAAGACACGTTCCGCTCTTCCTCCTGCGGTGCGACTCTTGCGCGCCAAGCCACGGAGCACAGCAGTGCACAGCACAAAACAAAAAGCGGATCCGGCCTAATGCGGTCTGGATATTTCACTTGTCGGCTTCAGTTGTGACTCAGCATCGGACGACTTAGTCGACATGTTAGCGACCTGGGGCAATTCTGGCAGCACGTCCCCAGTTGCTCTCTCCTCCTCGTCATCAGGCATGTCAGACAAGCTCACATACCCAGTGGCCTTTCGAACCTGCAGCAAAAGCAAGCAGGATGCATCATGTTCGAAGACGCAAAAGGCATAATGAGTGCGAATATGTCTGGCTACATCACAACATGTCAGAACACAAAACTTACCCCCCCAAAAAAAAACAGAAAGTGCAACGCAATCTCATTCACAGCCAAGACTACTGACCGCCCACATCCAAGCCTGTTCTTTGGGTTCATCGCCATCTTTCGCCTGCGCCGTGGCACTCCAAATTTACTCCGGATATCACTTGCTTCCGCCAAGGTCTCCAAAAACTCAAGCAAATACCAGCCTTGGCAGAAGGGTCAAAGGACACTGTCCGCTCTTCCTCGTCCTCTTGCTGATGGCACTCGGCTGACGACAGTCGGCATATCCATCTTGAAAACGTCTTTGGCTTGCCAGCACCGACTACAGTTGCCGAGAATGGCACTATTTGACGACATGTTCGACCCTGTACGCCCTGTTGGACGACATGTTGGACAGCATGGGGCAATTCTGGCAATTCACGTCCCGAGTTGATCTCTCCTCCTCGTCAGGCATGTCAGACAAGCCCACATACCCGGTGGCCTTTCGAACCTGCAGGAAGCAGGCGTGAATCATCTAAGACGCAGGAACAAGTCATACATCTCTACTCTTGGTATGGTAGCAAAAAACTCTTTTTTTTGCAGACCCCCAGTAAAAATGGACAGAACCAAAAAAAAACATGCCAAGAACAGTGAAGCATAATATGTGCGAAGATGTCTGGCTACATCACTATATATCAGAACATATCAGAACAAGTTGAAGCCAAAAAGAAGAAAACACGCAAACACTGAGCATGCAGGGAAACTCAAACAATTCAAGCCAGAGACCATGGTGAGCATGCCTTTTGCCACATGCCTTTTATTGTTATGCACTTTCCGAAAAACACCGTACTTGCTGTACAACACACACGCACAAACACATGTTTCTTTGCTTGTGACACCACAGGGTTCTTATTCTGCGAATCTCAGTCGGCATTGCACAGCATGGATGCAACACAATCTCATTCACAGCCAAAATTAATGACCGCCCACATCCAAGCCTGTTCTTTGGGTTCATCGCCGTCTTTCGCCTGCGCCGTGGCACTCCAAATTTACTCCGGAAATCACTTGCTTCCGCCAAGGTCTCCAAAAACTCAAGCAAATACCTTGAAATGCCCAGTGGCCATGGGGAAAAAAGGCATCGTTTTTTGGTTGGTTGAGTTTAAACGGGAACCCTTCCAAACAAAGGAAATAAGGGCGCCTCTGGGCAATAGAGTACCAGCCTTGGCAGAAGGGTCAAAGGACACTGTCCGCTCTTCTTCGTCCTCCTGCGGATGGCGACAGCCGGCTCTGCAACACAGGAATCCGACCTCGAAGTCTACCTATTGCAAAGTCTCCAGCCCAGCTTCAGCCGGGAATTTTGTAATCGGAAAAAACTGCACTCCTGCAGAATGTGGGACGGTTCCGAAAAGCTATAGCACACAATGGGGCGAGGGTGGGACAATTGCAGCACATCCAGAGTTGCTCTGTCCTCCTCATCAGCAGGAGGCATGTCAGACAAACCCACATATCCAGTGGCCTTTCGCACCTGCACGCAGCAGCAAACAGGTCGCTTCATGCTCAATGATGTATTGTGTGACATAATATTTTTCTGGATATGTCAAGACGAGTAAAAGTCCAGCATGCAATCTTAGAAGTGACACCATTGGATATTCATTGCCCGGATCTCACTCGACATGTCACAAGAAAACGCGAGTGAACAATTTCGATCAATGCATTGACCATCACGAGAGAACCACCGCCGTCCATGCCTCTTCTTTGGGCTTGTCGCCGTCTTTCGCCTGTGCCGGGGCTCCAGCCACAATCCCAAGGCTAGCTTCTGCCTACCTCCAAGATCCAAAACGCCTCAAGGGGAGACCGGCCTTGGCAAAAGGGTCAAAGGACACCGTCCGAGCTTCCTCGTCATCCTGATGGCGCACGGCAGAACAAACAGCACGCACGTCCTACTTGAATATCTCCTCATGTAAATTGGGCAGCTGGTCTTTTAACTTTCAGCTTCAGTCGCCAAGCATCAAGGGGCTATGAATAGACACAACCCTACCTTATGATCATGTCGTCAGTTGAGCAGTGTTTTTTAGTGGTTCGGGGCTTCGGCACTGCTGGGGAGTCTAGCTGGGGGCTTTGTGGGGGCCATAATTTGTGGAAGAGCTGCCTTGGCGAGGCTTCGCGAAACGGTGGCGAGCCAATTCCTTGTAACTTCCTTGTAGCTAGCCTTCGCAGAGTTGCTTCGGCTGTGTCGAACCGCATGGCACTCGCGAGAGGTGTCGAGAGGTTTCGCCCAATGGCGGCAACACGACGAGATGGGCGCCGCACAGCACTGAGCAACGCCAAGCTGCGAGCAACACATGCCATGCACCCAGCGGGACTTGTCCAGCACCTCCAAGCCACTGCGAGGCACAAGCCGGCAGTCATGGTCCAAGGCGAAAACCCAGGACAATGGATCACAAGTGCCTTGGCGGACTCTTGGGAGTTCCCTCAGCGAGAATATTGAAAGAGCCAGCTGTGCATTTGGCTTTCAAGTAGCTACCCCACGACACCACGCAAGTTGCTCAGGCCCTTATTATAGTACTGTCAAAGATTGTACACTTCTGCAGAATGTAGGACGATTCCAGAAAAAATATGGGACACCATGGGACGAGAGGGGACAATTACAGCAGCACGCCCACAGTTGCTCTGTCCTCCTCATCAGCAGGAGGCATGTCAGACAAACCCACATATCCAGTGGCCTTTCGAACCTGCACGCAGCATCAAGCATCATGCTCGAAGACCTAAAGTCCAGCATGCTTTCTGAGAAGTGACACTATTGGATACTCATTGCCCGGATCTTACTCGACTTGTCGCAAACAAATGTGAGTGATCATTTTTCGAACAACCATCACGAGAGAACCACCGCCGTCCATGCCTCTTCTTTGGGCTTGTCGCCATCTTTCGCCTGTGCCGGGGCTCCAGCCACAATCCCAAGGCTAGCTTCTGGCTACCTCCAAGACCTCAAACGCCTCAAGGGGATACCGGCCTTGGCAAAAGGGTCAAAGGACACCGTCCGAGCTTCCTCGTCCTCCTGCAATAGCCGCCAGTCAGTGCAAAGCAAACAGCCTTGCAGCTTCTGCCTTTGGCATCTTGCCAAACCCGCTGCCACGGGCAAAAAAGGACACCACTGGGTCTCTTTGTCAAGGGCATGCATAGGACATGGGGAGGGAGCCAAGCCGAAGGATTTATCGAAGTCAAATATGTTTGCCCAAGAAGCTTGCAAGCCATGCAATACAAGACCAACACACTTCGAATCAAGATTCGCGGAATGCAAGAACTAGAGGGTGGGTGCGAGAGTTGGATCGACGTAATTAAGCTGCTAAATGCGGATTTGCAACCTTCATCATATCCCGATGAGAGTTTTCAGCTTGTACCCACCCAGCATTCTTCAGAATCGCTTCTGTTGGTGGGCCTTGAAATGGGCTTCCAGGAGCAGTAGCGCCGTATGGTTTGCTTTGCCCGCATGTGTGGGCCAAATTGCCGACCGGATTTCTCTCATTCAAAGCCGGCATCTAGATTGACATGACTTGGGATTCCATTGGACACAGTCCGCGCCCCGGCAGCTTTCGCTTGTTTGGCAATAGGGCTGCCATTGTGTTCTGTTTGCTCAGTGCCGGAGGGTGCCATCAATTAATCGCGGAGGTTTAGAAGTCTGAATTGTTGGGGGGGCTGGCCGTGAAGGGACTATACCCTCCACAAGCCCGTCAAACCGCAAACTGTTTAATGGCAATGCCTACGTGAACGGAACCGGCATTGGCCAGAGCCATTGGCTGCAGTTTGGCACTTCAAAATCACGAGCTTCAATTTGTCCAGGATGGGGAGAGGCGCTTCAATCAGGGCATATAAATAGGGTGTGAACCGTCAGCATTGATCAGGTCTGTTACAACTAACTATCTACGTATATAGACATGTGTATATGTATAAATATATAGGCATGTGTTCCTATATAGTTTTATAAGTATCATACGGGCCCGTGGCCCATGGATCCCCCTCCCTGGACAGTTTGGACACGAGAAGTTGTCCGTTCTTGCTTATAGTCATGGTCCGTGTCGACTTGCGCAGTGAATTACAAGTACCTGCACAAGGGCACATTCTGTCATGTGGAGGCAGAGTCGCTGATCATTGTGTGCTTCAAAGGCAGTGGTAATTGACGAGCGTCGCCATCCTGAACCTAGCTTGCGAACACCCTTGCTTTTGAATTCGATTGAAACAACTTGACCGTATTCTTGTGCAAGTCCCGGACAAGCTGATGTTCAATATGACACATGGAAAGTAAGCTAAGAGATGACGTCTGGATTCAGTTGTGTTCTGATAAGTGCGATTGCTTCTCGGTGCAAGCATGGGTGTGCGTGTGCAAAATAATATGTGTCCATGCAGGCGGGCCTGCAGGTGTGTGTGTGTGTGTTGTGACTGTGATTGTAGTTGTGTCGCTTGAATTGCTGGCTGGTGCTCAGTAGGGAATGACCTTCTGGGTGTTGGCAATGAACCGGAAGGGGACTCCCTCAAAGGAAACCATGGGATGGATGGTTCTTCTTGGGGTCGTTCCATTTCTCATTCCCTGAAAACCAGCAAGATTATGCATTCCGCCAATCGCTTCCAGTGCCAAGCTACTGCCTTGGAACTGGTGGCGGTTGGCTCTCCCCATCACTCGCCTCGCTCGGCTCGTTCGCCGCGTGAGCCTGAAGATGAAGCCCGAAGCATGGCATAACATGCTTCACTGAGCAGACCATCTCTCTCGTTTGCTCACAACTTGCAAATGGGTATGGGTCAAACTTACTCATCACCAGGATATGGACTGCAGGTTTTAGTACCTGCTTCCATTTCGCAGGGCAAAGCAGGGGTACATTTCTTTGACCCACAAGTCCTTGTGGGTCATCCCAGCTGAACTCTGAAAGAATTTTCAGCCGGCGAACCAAAACGTCGTGGCTGCCACCTCGGCTCTGGGGCTCCGGCCTTTGATCTGTCCTGCAGCTTGGCTTCCACGACTTGTTTCAGATTCGAATATGTTCTCATAGACATGAGTTTCAACCCTTCCACTGGGTCCAGAAATATGTTCTCTTTTTTTTAATGGGCAGAAACTGGCAATAGCTCAAAAGCCAACTCGTACTCTCAGTGAACATCCGATTCAATCCCCACTAAAATAGGCTTTAACATGGGTGGTGAATTCACCTACTCCAAAATGGTACCATTGGTTTGACCTGCAGCCATATTCTCACAGACATGGAGTCCCATGTGGTGTGTCATTTTTTTTGATGGAGCTGCAGTGTCTGGAAAACTGTGAAGTTTGCAGCCTCAAGTGCCCCTTACAAACAACCCGACTGGCACCTCAGTCACTAAACGTATTTCCTGGGTTAAGTGGCAACAATCTGATGTCCAACACCGTGTCGCAAAATGCCGACTGCTCTAAACAATTGCCACCTTCGAGAATGATCCTGCTTGCAATCGACTCGGTTGCAGCTATCCTGTCTCAAAAACGACTATAGTTGTTCACGGCACTAGCAAACAGCGATGCACATGACAGTCGTTCTTTTTAGCGGGCTCGCGGAAGCCTGAGTCTCCCAAGATGGCAACCCGCCTCTTGGCATGGCTTTAGGAAGAAACCAACAGGAAACCGCCCACCTGCAGGGGCCCGAGCGAGACACCAAATCACCTGATTTTGGGCGTCTCCGCCCCGCTTTCGCCTGCCTGCTTTCGCTTCTCCTGGCAATCGAAGCGTCGGTGACCTGCTTTTTGGTTGGACAAAACTGAGAAACATGAACCTAAGCCACTGGTGCTCAGGATTTTGGGAATGACCAGGAATTGGGGAATGAACCGGATGGGGATTCCCGCATAAAGGAAACGAGCGGGGACGGTTTTTCTTGGGGTCATTCCTGAGACCCAGCTTCGATGCCACTCCGCATGAGTTTCTTGTCGGAGCCTGGCACTTTCAACTTCCAGTCAACAATCTCCCAGCTGGAAATTCAAGTTAGACGAGTTCCTGGAGGACAGGCAAACACCACTGGCGCATGCGAACCCCATCTCTGATTTCATCAATATGCCGCGAAGATGCAACATATGTACATCACTCTGCAAAGACAGTTGGAGTCGCATGCATAAACACAGTTGAATCATTGCCAGTTCAGGTGGTTCCTTTGAGTATCTTTAGCTGTGTGCCTCCCGCCCTCGACGCTTCCAGCGCCAGCTTCCACTGATATTCATATGGGTACTCTTGTGGTTTTAAAGGAACACCGAAAGGAACACCGGGCCAACCCGTCGCAAAGAAGCCCGCACTTGAACCGGGTGGTACCCTCCAAGCTACCTTTTTCCCCGCCCAAAAAATTACAAGATAGCTCCAAGGTAGCCTCCAAAGTACCCTCCAAGGTAGCTCACAGGATACCAAGAAACTTGGGCAAGTCATATACCCTAGTACAAGAGGTGCCTGAAGCAAAGCCCGTGCCCTTGAGGCAATCCTTACAATAGAAACACCGATCGAACATTGCAACTTGTCAATGGTGGTGTCCTTCTATTTTGGTGCTGAAAAAGCAACATGTTTCAAATGGGTTGGCAAAATGGAGATCTTTTAAGGAGCCCTGTCAAGACTCCAAGGTTGCCTGGCCTGCGCTGCGGGGTCTGTGTACACAAAGCGGTCCAAAGGGTCCTGCGATCGGCAGCGCAGTGGCCCTTCGGTGGCTGCGCATGTGAAGCCATATGCAGTCCCCGGATTTTTGGGCCAAAAACTGTTAAGTCCAAACCACAAAACTGGGCCAAGCCCCAAAAAGGTGACTAAAGTCCAGGAACTCAGGAAGTGAGAAGTTGAATGCAAAAGAAGTTTAACTATTGCAATGACGACCGACTTGCTATAATTGTTTGGAATGAGACTGGCTGATAGTTAGTGCCCACGGGGCCAACAGGGCAGAGAGCACAAAAGGAACAACGCCTATGAGTTGTCGGAGGGCATTCAGTGGTGCAGGATTCCGGTCAATACTTTGGACAGCCATCCACTGCCACTGGAGCTCGGGACAGCATAGTTAACAAGTCTGTCAATCTCATTTGCCCGGTGACAGGGGAAAAATAAGAAGTCCTCCAGTAGAGAGGTTAGAATAAGGGTACCAACTTTTTTTCTGTAGTCTATTTTAGTAGGGGAACCCTCCCCCAAAAAAGTTGGTAAAAGGGCACCAGCGGGGGACCTGGTCCTTATCCTTACTGAGCTGTCCTCAGATTCCCCGCTAAACGTTTAACTTTTAGTGGGTTAAATGGAAATCCTATTTAAAGCACTAAAAGGATCCAAAAAGCTAAGGAACCGGATGGCTGGGCTTGCCACCAAGTGTTCTAAATGGGGGCTTCTCCCTGATGTGGTTGGAATCAGACCCCTTTTGGAGGGGCCAAAAACCACCCCCTATGAATAAACTGGGGTTGATTTATATGGGGTCCACATTAGGGCATGGGTCAAACTTCAACCACCAGGAGACCGCAGGCTTTAGTCCATGTTTCCATCTACCAGGGTTCAGTTTTGGGCACCTGTTTTTGACCTGTGTTTGGGAACCACCAAGCTAAATCTTAAAGAAAACCCAAGCCCAACTCCCGTGATTGGGCCGTCCTCCTCCTCGTCCAGCTCGTCCACCATGCGCACCACGCCCAGGGCTTGTCGCACCTGGCGCTGTCTGATCTGAAAATATGCGAGGAACACTCGGTTGATGTTGGAAGGGGAGCAAAAAATATCAAACTTTAGCAGTTAAGTAGATTGGGATTTCAACCACTAAACCACAATAAGCAAAAATGCAAAATGTTTCCCAACAACAACCATGAACACTTGAGCAGGCCCCAAAACATATTCACTCAGCTTCCCTCGAATTGGTGGTTTGGGGCCCATTGGTTTGGTAGTTAAGGGGTGGCTTCCCCTTTACCCTCAACAAGAACAAGGGACCCATCTTCAAATCCCCAAACCGCCAATGCAAGACCCTTCACATGGATAGCTGATGCACTTGAGCGCCCAACAAAAACATATATTTTTTAGGCGTTGGTTCGAGTACCAATGACTTCGATGGCTCGTTTACAGCCAGCGCTACAATACGTAGACTTCACCCGGCATGAAGAATTGGCCAACGCGGCTGGTTCACAAGATATGGACAAACATGTCCTGCGCATAAACCATGGGACTCCAAAACCAGACGCACCACAATTTACGGGGCTTGCCAGTCCACAGAAATGGCCTATCGGCGACCGAGCGACCGAGCTGCCCAAAATCTATCGACTTGGGGTACCGATCAAAGCTTAGACCTGACATGGCCTATGGACAAACGAGGTGGGAGAAGCTGAAGAATTTACTCGGGGTCTTGGGCGCCGTAAAAGCCACTTGGGCCAAAAGCTTTGGCCTCTTGCCACATGCCATCAGTCTGAAGTTGGATGTTTCAAGATCTGCTCAAGGAGAGTATTACGCTTGTCTCAAGAAAGGGGTAACCCTTAAAATCAACGATGTTCAATTGGATTCCCGCAGCCCTCCAAAAGAGACACCCAAATGTCTCGCCTCTCTGTGCCTGGCCTTCATCCTAGTGACGCAAGGGGCACGCCGTAGTTCTTAAACGGGTCACCGCTTGTAGCTCCACGGCATGTCCCCCCCTGCCTGTTCAGGTTCTGGATGTTTTTCTGGAGGTTTCTCTGGCAACATCTGAGCTGCCTGGGCCGACATGCGTCAGCCAGAACATGCAAACCAGTCAACTGCGTTCGTCATCCGCTCCGGCACTCCATAATGGAAAGCCACAATGAAGACGTGGCAGAAAGGAATAGACATGTCGCCGCTTCAAACCAGCCCCTGAACACCTCATTCCACACCATCCAGCAAACAGGAACCACCAAAAGCTTCAGTTTTGACCAACTGGATTCAGAAAACACACCAAAAGCTTCAGTTTTGGAAAACAGCATTCAAGGCCACCCTTTGAGGCCTTTGCCGGCTCTGCTGGCTTCTCCGTAGTGGGGAGCTGAGGAACCTGAGTCAAGCGAAAGGAAGTTTGCGGGCACGGACTGCGCAGCGTGAACTTCTAGGTCCGAACAAGTTGGTACCATTTTTTTCTGGTTTGTCTATTTTAGTAGGGGAACCCTCCCCCCAAAAAAGGTAAAAGGGCACTACTGGGGGACCTAGACTTCAATCGGCCAAAGTATGTCCCACTTCCTTGTGAAGCGCCAATGAGAGTAAAGCAGCTTGGAACAGTGTGGCCGTGTCGCTTGCTCGAAGTTCACAGCAAACACAGAATGCTCAAAAACACATCTTGTCGCAGCTTTTACCCAAACATCAGTGCGCTTGCCTCGAGTGAACTACCATGAACTACCCGTCGCCGCTTTTACCAAAGCAGGATTCCCAAAATATGTCATGCTGCGAAACATGATGAACCGAACGATTGCTTTCCTGCTCCCTTTCCAGTTTGTCTTCTACCTGGCAAACAAGCTCAAACAAACATGAATGCTTAAGCTGATCTTGCGGCAAGCGTGGCTAGGCGTACCAATAAGCTTTTGCTCCAAGAGGTGTAGTGCTCCAGAAAGTGCACAGTCAGCATTATCGACCAGTGGCAACTCCAACTTGAGGTGCTTCAGAGTTGATGGCCATGGAAGTGCTCAAACGCCATGGAAAACACAAAGCTGTATCTGACGGCATGAATGCTCGCAAGCACATGTCAAATCGAACCTGCCTTCTCTGCTGGCTTCTCAGCTGGCTGTGGCAGCTGCTGCTGAGGAATCGCCTTAGCCAATCCAGCGAACCATTGACAGAAGAGCCAACCTTTGCCGCGCTAGGTTTGTTGGTAGGCATGCGATTTGGCATTCTTCCAGACGATCAGTGGCAACAACCCTCGGTCAATCTAGCTTGAGGTTCTTTACAAATTAACAGCCATAGATGTGCTCAAATGCGTAATCACGCAAAGCTGTATCTGACGGCAGTAGCATGCTCGCTCACACATGTCAAATCGAACCTGCCGTCCGGCCTTCGCTGCTGGATTCTCTGCCGGCTTCTCCGCTGGCTTTGGCAGCTGCTGCTGAGGAACCACCTCAGATAAGCCAGGCGAACAAGCAATAGTTCTTCTCAACCTTTACCGTGCTGTGTTTGTTGGTGGGCAAACGATTTGGCATTCCTTCATTTCCAAGGGGCGCAAAGGCATCAAGGGTCGAAATTGTGATGATTCACAAAGCGCATGGTCTGAATTCTCGACCAGTGGCAAAAATTTTTGGTCTATCCAACTTGAGCTGCTTTAGAATTGATGGCCCTGGACGTGCTCAATGCATGAAAACACAAAGCTGTATCTGACGGCAGAAATGCTCGCAAGGACATGTCACATCTAACCTGCCGTCCGGCCTTGTCTGTTGGCTTCTCCGCTGGCTGTGGCAGCTGCTGCTGAGGAACCGCCTTAGTCAATCCAGCGAATCATCAGCAGAAAAAAACAACCTTTGCCGCGCTGTTTGTTGGTAGGCGATTTGGCATTCTTCCAGAACTCTCGACCAGTGGCAACAACCCTCGGTCAATCTAGCTTGAGGTGCTTTAGAATTTAGATGTGCTCAAACGCGAAATAACGCAAAGGTGTATCTGACGGCTGTAGCATGCTCGCTCACACATGTCAAATCTAACCTGCCGTCCGGCCTTCGCTGCTGGCTTGTCTGCTGGCTTCTGCGCTGGCTGTGGCAGCTGCTGCTGAGGAACCACCTTAGTCAATCCAGCGAACCAGCAACAGCCAAAGTCAACCTTTGCAGTGCTGGGTTTGTTGGTAGGCAATCGACGTGGCATTCTGCCAACTCTGCTGGCACGGGCTGTACAGCGCGAAGATCAATCGGCCGATGTATGTCTTCCTAGTCAAGCACCAATGAGAGCAATGCTGTTACTCACGGACTAGCTCTGTCGATTGCTCGAAGTTTACACCAAACACGGACTGCGCAAAAACTACTTGAAATGTGTCAGTCCGTGCCATAAGTTCAACCAAGTGATCTTCGGACTCCTCTTCAAGACTGCTTTGTACGATGTACAGAGGCACCAACAGGGGGGGGAGAATGCTGAAGCATCTTGGCAATAGAGGTTGGAATCAATTGATTCAATGGCAACGGACTCTCCATCAAATCTTGGTTGCTTTCTGCTCCCCTGCTAAAAGTTTAACTTTTGATGGTTTAATGAATGGAAAACCCATTAGTTGGCAAAAAGTTAAAGTCCTAACATCCAAGCAAAATGCACCAAAGAAATCTGAAGAAACATGTTCTGCTGGCCCTCGGATTGCTGGCCGCCGCGCCTCTTCGGGCTGGGGCTTCTCAGCCTGAGCGAGAACGCTATTGGAGGCCTTGCTTATTTGGCTGACCCAAATCGTACCCCCAGTGAACATCCCAATCCCAACTAAAATAGGTTCTAAAATGGGTGCACCCCTAACATGGTACCATTGGTGTTGACCCACGGCCAATTCTTGCACCTGAAACTATCCCGGGACAGACACTTGCGGCTTGCGGTGCAAGCAGGTCGCATTGGAGTCGTACCTGTACCCGGAGTCTCCATGACCCTTTCAAAATAAGGTCATTACCCAAACTAAGGGGGTCATGACCCCCTTTTAAAGGGGTCATGGAGACTCCAGGTAAGGCAATGTGCCAACTCCTTTGCCAGCAGGGCAAAGCTTTCACGCTCAAATTATAATCAAGGGAAACTGGCACGATTATTCTGCTTGCAGATGACGAAATCGTTATATACCCTGTGTTCCCTCTGGGGATAATGGTTATCTTAGTTATCTTGCTGGTTCGCACCAGGGAATGTGGGAATGACCCCTACGAACCATCCCTTGTGGCTTCCGTCCAGGGATCCCTAGTTTGATTCCCAAAACCCCAACCTTGATTCCCAACTGAGAATTAAGTCATGTGGCTGAGTGACATTGGCAAAGACATGGCACTTGGAGGATCTGAGCTGAAAAACAACTGCTGCACATGCTCAAAGTGTCAGCACGCATGAAACAACCAGGCGACTGACGGGATCATTAGCAACAATTGTTGATCTCCGCTTGGTTCCGTTAGATTCGAATGACGGGGTCCCCTGTGACATTTGCATTTGCTCCCAATCACAGGACCCATGACTCCCTGCCTTGTCTCCCAGTTGGAAAAAAATACACCTCAGAGGGTGCTAAATGGGGGTTGATCAACAGGTCCTCTACATAGGATGACAGCTGGTTGGAAAACCACTAAAAAGCTGATATTTCAACCACCTGGTAAAAGCTACCCATGGTCAAAGTACTGGGGGCCAAGCAGAATTTCGAACAACCCCCACATCTTGTTCTACATGGTGCATCCTCACTTGAGTCGCAATCAAAACCTGGTGCTAAAATGGTCTACCCAGAACCATGTACAGGATTAAGAAGGCGGATATCCGCAGCTTGCTTTCTGCTCCCCTGCTAAAAGTTTCACTTTTAGTGGTTTGATGGAAAACCCACTAGTTGGCAAAAAGTTAAAGTCCTAGCATAACTTGGCAAAATGCACCAAAGTATTTATGGCAAGGGGATCGCCCCTTACTAATCTTCATCTACCCGAATCGGTTTTGAGCACGTGGCTCACTTGGTTGCTGTTGACCCCGAGTTCCACCTTTGGGTCCAATTCGGGGAAAACCTCTTGCATCGGTTCAGCCAAAACGTAAAAGCCCAGCTTCCATTTGCTTTTGTTGCGCCCCTGGAAAAAAATCGAACATATTCCGGTAGTGAAATTGATTCCCTTTAAAACCAGCAAGGGAAAATCAATGAACAGTTCACTTCAGCAAATGGATGCCAAAGATCCAAATTGCCTATCCACCTCAGCCTTTGTCAGCCTCCACCCCCGATCTCGCGCCTGCATTGGCCGCTCGGCCTTCCGAAGCGAGGCATGCGAGGCCGTGGGGCCGTGGGGCCGTGAGCTACGGCAAAGGGTGGGGCCATGGTTTTTTGATTAATATATGCCTTGGTACCCGCTGAGGTCAATTTAATCCCTCTTCACCATCAACAAACCAGCCTCAAAGGGTATCAAGGGACCCTCTCAGTTGTTCAGTGACCCGAGAGGAGAAAAAAAGAATGGGAACCAATTCTTTTGGGGCTTGGACCGAATTTGTAGTGGGATTGCAGCCACCAAAAACAAAAAGGGGGAAAAAGAAAAAGGGTGCCACTGAACAACTGAGAGGACTAAAACCCCTTCTCGCTGCATGAGCTTGCCTCGTGAGGTTCCCCCCCAGGAATTCGACCTTGACTTCCATTTGCTTAAGAATATTTGTTGTGTTCCCCTGTTGGTTTAAAGGGAATCTACTGTGGATGGACGAAATCCTGCACCACTTTGAAACCAGGGTTTCTTCAGTGGTGCATGAGTTCGTCCGTCCACAGTAGGGGATGGGGGCCCCTCCAAATGTGGTCTGATTCCCCAAAAAAAGATAACAACACGACACCCCCGCCTATTCATAAACAGGCTGGCTGATTCCTCCGGGGGTCAATTTTTCAGGGCACCGCCCATGGCCGCAGGAGTTTTGACACGTGGGGTTCCTAGATGATCTGTGTTTTTTGAAACCGAAGACTGATCGACTGACCGCACCACGAAATGAAGAAAGACATGGTTGAAGACATGACTTGTTGGTATTTACGTTGGGGTACGCCAGTAGATTGAAATCGGATGAATCCGCATTCCCTGTTCTGTGAACAGGACCGAAGAATCAAGAGCAAACAGTAGATCTGCAGCCACAAACATCCAGGACGCATCATTGGCCACCCAAGGAACGCTGTGATTCTGGTAAAAGCCATTCATGGCTCAAGCAAACTATGAGCTTCAGATACTTCGCCAGCTCGGGACTAGACAACGTGCTGACTGTGCATGTACGAAACAACAAAAACAACAAACCTTAAGCGCTGCTTCTCTTGTTCCCTACAGCAATCGACAAAAACAAATCTTCCAGCATGCTTAAGTCCACAGAAAACATGAGCGAACATTTCCAGATATTTCCTACAACCAACAGGGGAAAAAAAAAAAACAACTATTCATTTCAGCAAATGGGAGGATAGCGTGGACAGCTGCCCGTGTCAGCCGCAGATTCGAATTTTGCCAACGATTGCGCGCTCAACGTTTCGTTCCCTGCCTGGCTCTCGCGAATCCCATAGCCTGCGCCTCAAAGTCGGAAAAGCATCGAGAAATCCTATCCTTGCCTCAGCTTCCCTATTTGGTGGGTGGTTAAGGAGGAATTTCCCATTCCTGTACAAGAACCAGGATCCTCAAATCCAACTCCAAACCACAATCCAAACCACCAATTAGAGGCTTCCTGATTACCCTCCCACCAATTAACATGGAACCTGCCAGGGGGTGTCTCTTGCAAGCTGTTTTAAAGGGGGTTCCATGTTCATTGGTGGAGGGTAGGCACCTGTGAACATCTGCGAAACTGTGTGTTTCAAAGCACTGGACCCAACCATTCAGAAACCCTGCACTACCTAATAAACCCCTGGCGGGATTCGATTTCCCTGTAAATACCAACAAACCATGGTTCCCCATGGATTCAGAGTGGTGCGAAGGGATTTTTGCCCACAGCAGCTGCGTTTCCAAGCACTGGACCCCTGGCTTCCAGCTTCAAACCCATCGAGACCCTAGCGGCCTAACGGCTTCGGCAATCCCAGAAAACCTGTCCTCCGCGCCATACGTTCAACAAACAACCCCCGAAACAAACGAAGAAACAAAGAAGAAAAAAACAACTGGAGTCTCCATGACCCTTTACAAATGGGGTCATTACCCTAAATCCGCCGACCCCTTTGCAAAAGCCAAGTTAGTCTCTGCAAAGGCGAGGCGTGTTCTAAGTAGTGGTTAGGGGGAGTCTGAGGGGGGGAGGGGGGTCCCGCGGCGGATTTTTTGACACGCCTAACCTCTAACCCTAACCTCTAACCCTAACCTCTAACCCTAACCTCTAACCCTAACCTCTAACCCTAGCCTCTAACCTCTAATCTTAACCTCCAACCCTAACCTCTAACCCTAACCTCCAACCCTAACCTCTAACCTTAACCTCTAACCGTGAGGATGGATGATGATGATGAAAGACTACGGGAAGATGACAGAAGACTATGGGAAGCTGACGGAAGACTACGGGAAGATGACGGAAGACTACGGTAAGCTGACGGGAAGATGACGGAGTGCGGGGAGATGACGGAAGAGATGAAGGAAGACTACACGAAGATCACGGAAGACTACGGGAAGATGACGGGGAGATGACGGGAAGATGACGGGAAGCTAACAGAAGACTACGGGAAGATGACGGAAGACTACGGGAAGATGACGGAAGACTACGGAAAGATGACGGAAGACTACGGGAAAATAACGGAAGACTACGGGAAGCTGAGATGACGGAATTCTACACGAAGATGACGGAAGACTACGGGAAAATGACGGAAGACTACGGGAAGCTGACGGGAAGATGACGGAAGACTGCGGGAAGAGGGAAGATGACGGAACACTACGGGAAGCTGACGGGAAGATGACGGAAGAGTGCGGGAAGATGACGGAAGACTGAGTCAAGATACAGATGCCAGGAACATCCTTGGCATCTGTACACAGACAAAGACAAACGCAAAATCTACAGCCATCTCATACTTTTTGGAGGGCAAGCAGCTTCTGCTTGGACTCGAGGGCGTGGGCCGCCGCACCAACCGGGCGATCCAGCGGCAGGTCGGAGTTGAGCAGCCGCAGCGCCGCGCCGACGGCGGGGCGATCGGCCAGCCGGGCGCCATCATAGCCAGGGTCGAGCTCAGCGCGCGCCCGCGCAGCCACCAAGCGAAGCCAGGTAAGCAGCAGGCGCGTCCCTCGCGGTGGGCCGCAGCCCCAAACCACCCTGTTCAAGGGAGAGGGCAGCGCACCTGCTCTTCGCTCAAGTGTAGCCCCGTCAAGCTAGCAAGGCAAGCTTGCACCTGCCCGTCGAAGTCCCGCAGCGGGCCCAGGTGTGCCGCAGGCGGGTTGCAGCGCATGCTGTGGACCAAGCGGGAATACCCCGCGCAAGCCCGCAACAGGCGCAGTCCAACCTGGGGGTCCTCGAAGTCCGAGACAGCGTCCAGCAAGGCCGTCGCGCCTCGGGCGCGCGACCGGGTGTGCTCCTCCACGAAGCCGTCGTCCCCGACGGCGGCGCCCAGCAGCTCGAAGCTACGCTGGGCGCGGGAGGTGCCGTCTGCTTGGACAAGAAGTTCGCGTGGCAAGTGGGCCCCCAAGCACTCCACCGAAGTGACCCCAACCGGCACAGCAAGGCACTTCGCAAGATTCAGTCGAAGGCCAAGATGTGCCGCTCCTACCTCAGTCTTTTCTTCCCATGACCCTGAAAGGATCACTCCCACGCGATGGAACAACTTTGGGTTATTTGCGTACTTGCAGCTCCACTGTCCGTCCGGCCCTTTGCCGTACAAGTGGCTGAGATACGGGATCGGATCTTCCATGGTCCCTTTGCAGACCACAGAGTCTCTGATAATAGTCCCCAATGCGGCAACAGCTTTGGTGTCCAAGGGGTGGGAGTGGAGATTGTCATCTCCCGTAGAAGCTGACGCACAACTGCGCTCGTCTACGGCAGCGCGTATCTCTTTGTGGGAGAGAGCCTCAACTTTGTCCAGCCCTCCCAAAGCAATTAAATATCTGCCCGAAGACAGAACCCATTGTTTCTCTTGGCTGTTCTTGGAAGTGGTAATTCCCTTCCCACTGCCTGTAATTCCGAATCTCACAGACTCCCATAGCCTAGTCCCTGTGCAAACAACCCACGCGCACTGGAAAAAGGCATTAACCAGCATCGCGCGATAGTGAGTCGCGCTCGTGGCTCAAGCCAAGCGTAGCTCGAAAGCAGCAGCGGACACAGAAAGGTCCCACCCGCTGGCGTCAGAAGAACGCACGAGGCCGTCAGGAGATGCCGCAAGCAGCGCCTCCAATTCGGCGTAGGTCCTCTGAAGGTTGGTCGTCGTGGCCGACCCCTACCGCCATAGGGTACATTGTTCCTGGTGCTCCTACCAGCTAGTCTCCTTCACATCTGGGTCCATCCTGGAAGCTTTCAACATCATGATGGTCTTGGTCTACAAAACATAAATTGTCTAGTAGACGATCCACTTCCGAGATATTCCAGATAAGTCTCCACGAGGAAGTTTTAATCTTCCTCGGTGGATGGCCTTCGGACTTAATGAAATCCACCGCGGGATCCATTAATCCTTCTTCCACCATGCGCTTAGGGCACAGTGTGTGAAGCGCAGCTGCCCAACAATATCTCAAAGCAAGTCGTACCTTGCAGAAATTGTAGAGCCGCTCCTTCTTCCCGGCATCCTTTTGCACATTTCCCCTGGTTCCGGGGAATACATGCGCTGCCCATCCTATCGCTTCGTCTTCGGCAGCCATCAAATGGTGGTCTAGGACTTTGCCTAGCGGATGGTCGTTAGGAGACCACGCCCCTGGCGGGTATTTCTCCTGGAAAGCAAGCGCGATTTGCTTAAGCAACGCCCGGACAGTGCCAGACGGCTTGGCTCTCCGCTGCTTCTTGGCTTGGCTCCGCAATGACGCCACGGAAGACTACGGGAAGATGACGGAAGACTACGGGAAGATGACGGAAGACTACGTGAAGATGACGGGAAGCTGACAGAAGACTACGGGAAGATGACGGAAGACTACGGGAAGATGACGGAAGACAAGATGACGGAAGACTGCAGGAAGATGACAGAAGACTACGGGAAGATGACGGAAGACTGGGAAGATGACAGGAAGATGCTGCGGGAAGATGACCCTAACCCCCAACCTCTAACCCTAACCTCTAAGCCTAACCTCTAATTAACCCTAACCTCTAAAAACTAGACGGAAGACTACGGGAAGATGACGGAAGACTACGGGAAGATGACGGAAGACTACACGAAGATGACGGAAGACTACGGGAAGATGACGGAAGACTACGGGAAAATGACGCGATGATCATGATGGCGATGATAATGATGATGAATGATAACGGTGCTAATGATGATGATGATGATGATACTGATGCTGATGATGCTCAGGATGATGACTATGATGGCGATGACGGATTCTGATGATGATTCTGATGATGATGATGATGATGATGATAATCATGATGATGAATGATGAATATGATGATGAGGATGATGACGATGATGCTGCTGATGCTGATGAATGCGGATGATGCATCATCATCATCGTCATCATCCACCATGTCGTCATCATCATCCATCATCATCCTCATTATCATCATCATCCTCAGCCTCAGTATCATCATCATCCTCAGCCTCATTTTCCAGCATCATCATCATCGTCATCCTCATCCTCATCATGCAACCCTAACCTCGAACCCTGACCTTTAACCCTAACTTCTAACCTCTAACCCTGACCTTAACCTCTGACCGTCATGATGCCGAAGACGATAATGATGATGTTTGATGCTGAGGCTGCTCATGAAGAATGATGATGATGATGATAATGCCGCCGCTGACGATGATGATGATGAGGATGATGATGCTGATGCTAATTAATGAAAATGAGATGGTGGATGATGATGATGATGATGATGATGATGATGATGATGATGATGATGATCATGATGATGATGATGATGATGATGATGATGATGATGATGATGATGATGACGATGATGATGCTGAGGATGCTGATGCCGATGGTGATGCTGTTCTGATGATGGATGATGAGGATGCTGATGCTGATGCTGAGGATGATGATGACAGTGATGACGATGATGATAATGATGCTGATGCTAATGATGATGATGTTACGGGGGTCGGCGGCATCAGGCGTCAGCCTGCTAAATAATAAAGGGGTCATGCACCCTTTTTTCAAGCGTCATGGAGACTCCAGGCAAACAAGCAAACCAAAATATGCAGAGGAAGCAAACTCCACAAAACCCACATGCCACTGCGCATAAACCGAAATCCGGCTAGCATAATCTTTACTATGCCCTCCTGATTCATATGTGCCATCTTGGCAGCACCGGAAACAAGACATGGGTCATCTGTACCCTCTTTAGCAAAGTCACCTGGGCGCGCCCTAGAAAAGGCACACCCCCTATATTGGCTGGTGTCCTGTTGGTTTCCCGGAAAAAAAGAAAGAAACAAATAGGGGCACCCTCCCAAAACGCACACCCATCTGAAAAGACTGTACTCTTCCCTCTCCATCGATGGCCAATACGAAAGTCGGTGCACCACTCTTAGGGCGCTTGTTGAACAAATAGAGCCCATGAAGCCGCGCTGTCCCATCAAGACTGCAGGATTGGAACTCGTCCAAGAAGAAACAACGAAATACTGCGTCATTCACTCTTTAATTTTGAACCGGCACATCAATTTACTGCAAGTCAATAGTGTTAATATGTGTTAATATCATTAATTAAATTAATGAAGCGTTGCCAAATTGTAAATTCGGCAATTTGCTATGTTAATTTGTTTTATATATGGGTTTCTATTTTTTCTATTCGTGCCACAGATTCTTGAATAGATGTTATTGCTAGAGTAGTTGCTCTTGTTGTTTCCTCTACTCTTCAAATTCTGTATGTCTTCCATACTATTGTTTTCACTATGTTTACTTTGAAAAGGACCCATTATATATAAATGTATATGTGTATATATATATATATTAACCAATAGGATAATATTTTGTCTAATTAATTAATCAGATTGTTACAGAACATCAATATTATTTAGACTCTATCTTTTCAATTTGTTGTTGGTGTTTTTAATCTTCATCGTTTTCTGCATCCGCGGGAACTGCCATTTGATCTGGACTTTCTGGGGGAGGAGAATGAACATTAATGGCTTCATTAGAACCACTACTGCTACTACCACTACTACTACTTAGTCGGCTGCCGTTCTCAGATCCCCTGAAAACAATGAATAACTTGTGGGTCCAATTGGGAAACCGAACCACTCAACCAACTATACCAAGATATAAAACCTGTCCGGAACCAGCCAACCGGGAAGGAACCGGCAAGCCGAAGAATATTGAAAATCCTAGCTCTACAAGCAAACCCGAGCTGAATTCACAACCCGAGAGGTATGGTATAGCAAAACTTTTTTTTTTGCCGGTCCCGAACCTAAAAAAGTAAAGAGAACCCAAAAACCAGAAACTTGATACAGCAAAGCCCTCTGCTCTGCTCAAGTCTGGGAGTCCCAGCTCTTGCCTGCCTTGGGTCGCAACCTCATGGCCACAGCTCCACAGCTCTTTGCGGCAAAATGTCTGGAAGGCCCCTTTTCTTGGCTGGGCTGGAGCCGTTTTCACATCCACCAAAAAGTCGAAAGCTTTTAGTGGTGTGGAAACTACCACTAAACCTAGGTCCAGTAGAGCGGATAGAACAAGGGTACCAAACCAACTTTTGTCTGTAGTCTATTTTAGTAGGGGAACACTCCCAAACTAAAAAGGGTGAGAAAGGGCACCTAGCTGGGGGACCTAGAAACCAACTAAAAGCCTCAAAACTCTTAAGGGGCCGGATGGCCGGGAACCAGAACCGGATGAATCGCTGAGAGCCTCCAAGTTCAAGGGTGCAAAGCTTCGCTTTAAGAGACATGAGGCCGAGAAATGGAAGTTGTCGAGCAACAGCGTACGTATGTCTGGACGCGTTTGTACCAACAGATTCAAATGCATCAAGGTTGCTCTGGGTCATCAAGTTGCTCACGTGGGCTGATGACGATGATGATGACGACGATGATGATAGTAAGGATGAGGAGATATGCAGATGACAGTAAGCATGATGCAATGTAGCCGCATGAGAGTGGAGGGGCCTGCGAATCTTTGCAAGGCCAATAGTAGAGATGAAAACCGAGAGCAGACGCGCCTTTCCCGCATCAACTCAGCGCCTCTTTCACTTCTGGCCAGGGAAAGGCTCCAAGTGGCAAGGAGGATCTGGTCCCAAGGCAGTTGTTTCACGCCCGGTTTCTGCCGCTTTGAGTCGGTCGTTCACCGTTGCACGCCTCAACTCGATGAAACCAGAGAAGAAAACGGCGTCACACACACAGACGAAGCAAGAAAAACCGGATGCATTAGAAACACCGATCGAACATTGCCTGGTAAACGGTGGTTTCCCTTTACTTTGGTCTAACAAGCCATATTTCAAATGGTTGCAAAATGGAGATCTGTTAAGGAGCCCTAAGCCAGCAAAACACACGCACAATGGGAAGGACGAACATGCTGTGGCCCGCCAGCAAAAAGTTCTTACTGATCACGAAGCATTCTGTGGGGAATGTAGCTCGTCACACTGCTAGGTCCTCCAGTAGAGAGGATAGAATAAGGGTACCCGATTTTGATTTCTCTGTAGCCTATTTTAGTAGGGGAACCCTCCCAACCAAAAAAGGGGTGATAAACGGAACTATGGGGGAACTATAGTTCAGGTAGGCTGATCAGTGGGCGTCGCGCACTTAAGCACCTCTTCCATGTCTGGCGTTGCCTAGGCACTGGGGGCCAGGAGAGTTGCAAGCCGTTAAGCTCCATCGCAACAATCTGCGCACTTGTCGGTGTCTTAAAAGGACGGACTCGGTGCCCCCAAAATGGCAAGGGTTTCCATGCGGTTTCCTTTTGAAGCAACCCCACAAAAGATTGCAACCTCAAACAAAAATAGACCAAACTCAGCAACTTATCAGGAATCCCCAAGGGGCTGTCATGCCCATCACTCGTACGCTCTACCTGCCTGCCCTCAGATTCCCTGCTAAAAGTGAATACCTTGTATTCCGCAACCGGATGCCTGTTGGAATCACCTAACGGATTGGCGAGCTCGGGTTCATTCAAGTGACACACACACACACAATTTAACCGCGTTTGAAGGACCCAGTTAAAAGCTGGAATCGCCAAAAAGCCCGTTGGAATCCACCCGAAAGCCCGTCCGGAATTGGATGACATTTGCTGTTTCGGAAACCAAGCTCAACTAGGTCCTCCAGAGAGGTTAGAATAAGGGTACTTGTTTTTTCCCCTTTTTTTCCGGGTTTGTCTCTTTTAGTAGACTAAACCCTCCCAAACCAAAAAGAAACGGTGAGAGGTCGGGCACCAATTGCTCGTTTCCCCAGCGCAGGCACCCCACGAGGCTCCCGCGGAGTGCCCTGGATGCTTAGGTCTGCGGGCCTCGAGGGACTTCCCCCCGGACCCTCAGCCCGACGTCTGACACCGAGCCGTCCGCCATTCTGGGACCTCATCAAAACCCGGCAAAATGGGCTAAATACCCAGAACCATCCGAAGAACTTGTGGTTGGGACTTTCCCTTACTAACCTTAGTGTAACCCGGTTTTGATTGTGACTCATTTCTGACACCTGACATTGATAGGATAAAGGGCACCACTGGGGGGCTCGGATATAAACACCATCGTGCGCCTGGCATACATGTACTTCTGGTTATGCAAGGCGTGCGTGTGTGCTGTGTGTGTGTGTGAGTAGGCCAAAAGGCAAGGAGAATAGCACCATGTCTTTCAATGGTGCACCGTGAAGAGGGCGCGTGTCTCAGGCAAGTTACTTGAAGAAGCATATCTTAAAAGAATCGCGCGGCATTGCCGGATAAACACGCACCCGTGTATTGGCCGGCTTCGCATAACCGTCAGCGGCAAAGTGTACTCAGCATGGTTGCGAATCTTGTCTGCCAACATATGCATCACCAGGTCGTGGCTAAGCATATGGCAACATGCAAATGCGTGTAACATGGCATCGGCCTCTGATTGTACAAGCATCTGACTGGCCTGACCAGGACTAAAGGTGTACCTCACAAACACCTGACTGGCCTGACTAGTTAAGTATAATTGTAGAACACCTTTACTCTGATGTGTAGTCGCTTGCAGCGAAGTCACAGGAAAAATCTATACGCAGGCACCTTCACGGTACTTCCACATCCTCACGGCTGTCAGCGCACTATTGGCCCCCACATGCGAACCAAACAGGACTCATTGAGTTTTGCGTTCTTTCAAGCAGAACATAAACTAGTCCACGGAAAAGACACTCCCTGAATCATGCACCCTGCCTCGGTGCATCAGTCTGGCCGCTGTTGGTGCCTGGGGCAATGGGGCGCTAATTACATGGGCTCTTTTTGAATAGTTCCGTAAGGAAACACAGGGAAACCAAGGGCGAGACACACAATTTTGGGGTTCCCCTATTTGGAGATACACCCACACGACCGATTCTCTGGCTTTCTTTTGGCCCTACAGATTCTTATGGGCTTGTCTGTGACATCAATAAGGAGTCCACGAGTTGATCTTAGAACAAGCCTGTCACAGAGCTAGAGGCGTTTCCCCAGCGTGCGTTTGTGCGTGCAAATGAATCGGTCATCGCTTTTTTGCCTGTGGTGAATGTGGATAGGTGCCTGCGGGCTGGGCATTGTGTGTGCATCTCCATGTGCCTGTCTGTGTGGTGCTAGTGTCCTGCGTGTGTCTGAGTCTGTGCTTGTGCAAGTGCTGAGCAGAGCGCCGCTGTGTGGAAGTGACTGTGAATGTGTAAATCTGCGGATATGACTGCGAATGTGACTGTCACTGCAATTGTGCACCTAACATGTGCACGCACTCGTAGGCCTATGTGTGTGTGGCTGGGAATTCGAATGTGTGTGTCTGAGCGCAAATTAGTGACTGTAAATCTGAAGCAACAAGTGGAAGGTAATGCGACTTGAGTGTAGATGAGTGAAGATGCGAAAATGCGTACAATAAAGTTATCGATGTGGAAAGGTGCGTATGCGTGTGTATGTTTCTGTGTGCGCTCGCTGTTTACATTGTGGAATGTTGGGTCCTGGCTGTGTGGACGTATCTGGCGTATGGTGTGCAGTGTGTCGTCTGCGTTGTACGTGGGTGGTGTGCCGCGTGTATGGAGCCGCGTGCGGTATGTTGCGTGTGTGTGTGTGTGTGTGTGTGTGTGTGTGTGTGTGTGTGTGTGTGTGTGTGTGTGTGTGTGTGTGTGTGTGTGTGTGTGTGTGTGTGTGCATGTCTATCATCACAGGAGTTTCATCCAATTAGTTTCTTTTAAGCCGGCTGGCCACAGGAGAGCCCACGGTCCATGGTCAAACACGGCAGAGCTTCCCGCACCAGCATCACACACGCGTTTCAACACAACTTGCCGGTGCTCAGTAGGGAATGACCTTCTGCGGTTTTGAGAATGAACCTCGGGATTCCCTTAAAGGATGCCATAGGGAATGGTTTTTCTTGGGGTTCTTCCCTTTCTCATTCCCTCATCGTACCAGCAAGACAACTCCCCAGCAAGTCACATGACGGCGCCCGGTAAATCCTCAGGCGAAGGCCCGTATCATCGCAGATCTTGATCCAATCTGGTTCCTCCTGGCGGAAAAAAACCATCTGTGGAAGAGCAAAAGCCACTCGCAAAGCCCAAGGAAAGGAACCTTCATGGGTGAGGCTCATCTGACAAATGTATATAACCACTCCATGTAATATATGTATATTACGTGTATATATGTATATGTATATATATATATATGTATATATGCTGTATAAATACGCAAGTACAGATCAACTGGTTGCCATTACATGTGACCAGGAAATCGTTGAAACACAACATCGCAAGCGTGCGATCATTAACTAGGCCCTCCAGTAGAGAGGTTAGAGTAAGGGTACCTTTGTATTCTGTAGTCTATTTTAGTAGGGGAACCCTCCCCCCCAAAAAAATGGTAAAAGGGCACTACTGGGGTCCGCACTACTGAGGGTCCTAGTTAATCCTAAGCTTGCCCGGGATTCTCGGCCAAAAGCTGCCCTCTGAAATGCCACCCGCGGTCCCCATCTGGCTCTTCTTGGCCCAGCACGGCAACCTGGCAACGTCAGATGAAACGTGGTGCCATGTTGGGTGGCTCGTCTTTGAGGGTGGACCCTCCAAACTAGCGCAACGGTAAAACAGGGTGTGACAGTTTCAAGGTTGGATCATGCTGGTCATGCTGGCCCCTCCAAAATGGCGCAACGGTTGTCCTTTTGGTTTCCGGTTAAAAGCCGGCAAAAAAGGGGCATCAACTCCAAAAAAGACACAACCAACTGAGCAACAAAGCGACCATCCACATCGCCGACCAATGGCTAAAAGGTAGGCAAGCAAACCGCATCGCTCTTGAGTGAGCGGACAGCTTGTCTGACCCCACAAAAACATATCAAGCTCCATACTTCAGTAAGACGGGTTTCGCGTTCAAACTCACTAACGTCAAAGGCTGAATGTGTGGTCCACATGAACCCTAGTATGAACCCCTGGTATGAACCCCTGATTTATGGGTTCATTAACCGATAGTTTTGGCTCAAGTATGGGAAATCAGCCCCCAAAGCGTCCCAAACGGCCATGGGTTCATATGTGGACCTATACAATCAGCCTTTGATAACGGTGCTTGCAGGTTCCAGCCTGAGCCGCACATGGGTGTGTGGATTTGTTGATGGTACTCTTCTCAGCTTGCTTTCAAGGGAAACCAAAGGGAACATCTCAGATTGTTTGGACCTCCTTATATAACACAATCATGTATGTATGTATATATAATGATATGCCCTGAGTTCACTGGTCAGGAAAAGTGCTTCGAAACTTTGCTGGGCTTCAATGAAATCAGAAACAAACCGACCAACAAGTCCAAAGCTTGGCAACTCAGGAGGTGAGATCAGCTTCCAAACCGCCTGGTGATATGGCTGTGGCGGTCAAAACCGTTTTGGGATCCCATTTTGGCGCTTTCGGTGAATTCACCACCCACTTTAGGACCTATTTTAGTGGTTGGATTGAATCGGATGTTCACTGGGGGTACGGGCTTGGGATTTTGACCCATGGCCATATTGGAGCCCGGTGGTGTGGTGACGTGGAGGGGTGTCCCATTTACTTTCATAAGAGCCACAAACCACTGGGCTCCAAACCAGCAAAGGCTTCCCAGATAAGAACAATTCGCTTCAAGGACGGACAAAAAACCAACCAACCAAACAAAAAAAAACACTCTCGCGCCACTTGCCTCGATGAGACGGTGTGACCTGGAGGCCGCAAAAAACTCACAACGCCACACCAGAACACCAGAACGCAATGACAACAGCAGCAGCAACAACACTTAAGAAGAGAGCCCTTAAGGCTCTGGAAAAAAAAGGAAAAGAAAAAACAAGGAAACACAAAAAGAAAAGAACAAAACAGAGAAGAAAGGAAACCAAAAAACAAAACGCAGTGGCTACATCAGCTTCCTGATGTTGAAGCCGGCGGCTTCAAAGTGAGTCTGACAGAAGCTTCAAGCAAAGAACAAAGATCTGCACTTCTGCCCAGCCGAAGCAGCTTTTGGAAGGTTTGTTTCCGAAATCTCGGCATTTGGGGGGGGGGGGTTCTGATAACATGGCCAAACCAATCTTTGCTGATACAACAAAAGCAACAACACCACACATCAGCTCCCAACTCCAGCGCTGCTTCAAACCAGCTGTGCCGCCACGGGCCCCCCCCCCCAGTGGCGGGGCAACGATGGCCCCTCCGTCGCGTCCGGCGTGGGGCGCCGGCATTCTTGACAGCATCCTCTCCAGAAAATTCCTGAGTTCATTCGGCTGCCCTCAAATCCCTCGCTAAAAACTTAACTTTTAGTGGATTAAATGGAAACTACCACTAAACACTAAAAGGCCAAAAAGCTAAGGGACCCAGTTCCCAAACTCGACTGGTCGCGAGAAAAAGCTTGAGCTGCGCAGTCGCCAAAATGTCCAACGTCCCCCAATTCAGTGATATGCACAATAGCCACTGCCGCTTCACAACGACAACTGTAGCTTGTCACGCAGCCATCCCCGAAATTGTCACAAATTCGTGTCCATTTCAAGTAACCCGCGATGAATCTGAAGTCGACATTGCCCCCAAACTAAGCAGCGAACACAACCGCTGCGATACTCCAACATGATTGTACACCATAGAGATCCATATTGGCCTTACCACCCCCCCCCCCCAAATGCTCGGTAGAACCACCCAATACACACACCCTGCACAGGGTTCTCTGAAGACATGCGCTACAACGGCGAATGGCCAACCGGTTCGCCCTCCAGAGCCCCTTGGCTCCAGAGATGTTTGCCTTTTTGCTTACCCTGCAGTGGGCTTGTGTTTCTGTTGAGGGTGCCGATCGAAATCTGGGAGACCAAAAGTAAAGCCACCATTGGTTGGGTCGTGGTTTAGGGGACCCCCAAACAAATGATGGCTGCCCTGTAGGTTTCCCTTGAAAACCAAAGAACGGCGTGCCATCAACAAAAGTACAGTCTCATTTTTTTCGGGTGAGATGAAAACCAACAAACACTGCCGCCGCCAAACAAGCGTGCCCAAAGGACCGAACGAACTAAAAGCTGAACCTCGGGAAACCCAACAGGTCAGATCTCGATTCGCGTTGAGCAAGTTAGACGAGCGGCTTTTGCCCGACATGTCCGCTGAGTTTTTCTTTTTCAACAGCCAAGGTGCGTGCGCCCCTCGCAGCCGGGGCTGAGATTCACCTCCAAGAGCCACATCTTCATGGCCTCAGTTGCGAGGTCCCTCTTGGAAGGGAAAGAGGAGCTTCACCAAGCTACCCCCCTAAGGGCGAGGGGGGCTGCGGGGTCGGGAAGCGTGTGACTCCGTGTCACCCCTTTTCACCTGCGTGTCACCCCGTGTCGCCCCCCGTGTCAGCTGCATGTCACCTCGTGTCGCCCCCGTGTCGCCCCCCGTGTCACCTGCGTGTCACCCAGTGTCACCCGTGTCGCCTGCGTGTCACCCCGTGTCACCCCGTGGGCTTGTCTTTTGCTGTTTGGGACAGCGTGAAACGACCGTAGATAAGGGATCTATATTTTATTTTCGGAAGTACTTCCAAATACCCGGTAGTTCCGAACATAAAAAATTAGGCGGTAGTCGGAACTTGCTTGAATAAGCAGCCACGGAAGCGAGGTACAGCTCCCTATATTTCCCCTTAAAACATCACCCCACCAAGGCATACTCACCTTTCATGGTTGCCAAAAAGGTGATGTTTAAAGCAGCCAAAGAGGGAATCCTGGAGTCTCCATGACCCTTAACAAATGGGGTCATTACCCACAATGAAGGGGTCATGAACCCATTTTTTCAGGGTCATGGAGACTCTAGGAATATAGGGATCCCTGAGGTACTTTTGCGCCCAAAGCGCGACTTCGACGAAACGTGCGGAAGCGCGCCTCGTCCACCATGACGTCGAAGCCCAGCAGCTCGAAGCTCTCCGCCCGCTGCTCCAGGCGGCTCTCCGCCGAGCGCAGCACCTCCCACCGATCCCATCGCGCGGGCGGAGCTCGCGGGCGGAGCTCGCCGTTCGCCGGACTTTGGTTTTGGGGGGGGGGGGAATTCACGGGAAGTCATGGGACTTCTGTTTTGGACTTTTGTTTTGGACTTCTCTTAAGAGAAGCCGAGTCACGGGGAGGCATGGGATATGCGCTGTTCTTTTCTTTTTCCCGGGGTTTTGGGGAGGCGAAGCTCAAAAACGAATGCCATTGAACATTAGGTCAATCGAATTAGTTTGGGCTCAAAGAATCCCAGCCGGTTGATGACGGTTGCCAGAATTTCCGTACACTTCTCTAAGTATTTGGCTCCCCTTAGGCTCAGCAAGCAAATATAGAGGGCTCTAAATATATATATATATATATATATTATATATATACATATGCATACTAATGGGGATTGGTGGTTGACCATTTGACGAAACGGGTCTGAAGTAGTAGTCCATTGTACTGGTCCACAACAGGAATGATTTAACATGTTTGGGACCAATTTCTGAATTGCGGCTCCTATCAGGGCAAGTTGATGTTGAAATGGAAAGAATACAATCATAACATGTGCTACCTTTGCATAGAATGTTTGAGTAATCCTGGCTGACACGTATCAAGGGATTCGAGTTGGTGCAACGACTAAATAAGCTTGTAAATGGCTGGATGAACAGGGCCATGGCACAACCGAAGCACTTAGCAAAGACAAACCATGGCCCAGAGGTGTATGCTCGCAGAATGGGCAGGGTGCATGTGACATGCATAGGTGAACACAGCACTAACCACATCACTCGGTTGCTTTCTGCTCCCCTACTAAAAGTTGAAAACTTTTAGTGGTTTGCTAGAAAACCCACATTCGTTGGCAAAAAGTTAAAGTCCTGACAGCCCTTGGCAAAATGCACCAAAGATCAATGGTGTGTGGCTGGAGGAATCCGGATGCAGCGCCTTCCTCAGTTGTTCAGTGACCCTGGAAAAAAAAGGGAACCTTTTTTTGGGAAGACCATTTTAGTGGGGCAGCCACCAAAAAAAAAGGAAAAAGGGAGCCACTGAACAACTGAGCTTCAGCAAAGGCCTCTTTGCAAAAGCATCGCTCGCAAAACAAGTCATGGCTCGCAAAGGACCCTCTCGGCAGATTTCAAATGCGCTGAACCGGCGCCTCGATCACGATATGCTTCAGCTGCGGCAAAAGCTCGCTCTCCCAGTAGTCCTGCGCTGAGTCAGAACATCAACGGTATTTTGAGTTCCTCAGCAACATCTGCGCAAAAGTGGGCCATGCCCCCAACGGGCCACATGTTGTCCAGAACAAACGCAGGACTGCTGTGCAAAACCATTGGTCCGTGCCAACTCTCGCCCAAACCACCTCCTGAACAAAGAGCGGGCTCGCAAAATGGCCTAAGAAGCTCGGCTGTTGCGCATCTTCCGGAACATTCTGACTCACAAACCTCAGTGTCTTTCTTCGAGGGTCTCCCACTTGTTGCGCCCTAAAAGAGAAACAAACCAAAAAAAGAAGCCGCAAAAAAGCGGGTCCGCCGTGTCCTTTTTCAGCCGCCGCCCCTTTGGTTTTTGAAGGGGACGCCCATCTCGGAAACCCCGACGGATGGCCGGTAGCCCCGTGGCCGGAGCCTCGCAGCCGGTGAGCTCGGAGAGCTCTGCTTTGAAGTCCTGGAGGGAGACCACGGCGCCCTCCACCACGTTCTTCCCATGCCTCGTCACACGTATTTTTTCTCAGTTTGGGGGAGGAAAACGGGAAGAAGAACAAGAATGGGTAAAGGCCGAGCAGTCAGAAATATTATTCCAGTGTTTGGGGGAGGAAAGCCCAAAAAAGAAGTTGAACAGTAAGAATGATTGAAAGACACAATGGGAGTAACAATTATTCTTCCTGTGCTTGGGGGGGGAAAGCGGGAAGAAGAATAAGAATGGGTCAACGAAAAGGTGAAGGAGGAAAGAAGTTGCTGAGTAAGAATGCTTGAAAGGCAGAATCTGGAATAAGAATGGGTAAACGAAAAGGTGAAAGGCTGCCTTTGGACGTGTCAGTTTCGAAGGTGGCAAAGCTCGGTGCATTATTGCATCTGCTTCGAGGTGCTTTGTCCATGTTGATGTTCCAAGCCAAAGGGCGAAACGCCGAACACTTGGAGGGAAGCTCTCTGGCATGTTTCTGTTGTGCTTGAGTACATTCAGCCATGTTATTCATCGTCATCTTCCATTTGCTTAAGCCCCCTGCACAAAACAAAATATTTCCAGTAGTGATAGATTCCCTTTAAAACCAAAACATTCTAACACAGAGGCTGCAAATTCACATTGCTGTGAGTGGCGGCTTGGGCAAAACAAACAAACAAACAAACAAACAAACAAACAAACAAACAAACAAACAAACCAAACCAACCGACATAAAGAAACAACCAAACCCAAGCCAAACCCAACCAAACCAACCAAACAGCAAACACATCAGCAAGCAAAGAAACCAGCAAACAAAGAACCCAACAAACAAAGAACCCAAGAAAACAACACAAAACAAAAAACAGAACGAATCAACACGAATCAAAACAAACCAAACCAAACCAAACCACGCAAAGCCAAACCGCACAAAACAAGCAAGCAGGCAAGCAGACAAGCAGGCAAGCAGGCAAGCAAGCAAGCAAATACGCAAATACGCAAATACGCAACAAACAAATAAACAGACAAACAAAGCAAACATGCAAGCAAGCAAGCAAGCAAGCAAACAAACAAACAAAACAAACAAACAAACAAACAAACAAACAATCAACCACACCAATCCAAACAACAAAGCAAACAAAACAAAACAAACAAGAAACAGTGAACAAACCTCAAAGAGTTGGACGCCGTTCAGTTCGAAATCCGCATCGCAGTGCATCGTATTCAAAGGTTCCTCTCCCGATAGAATGTGGGCATCCCTCCCGGTCATTGCCAACACATTGGCTGGCCCCTATGAATCTCTCCAAGCTTATTTAGGTCCTCCAGTAGAGAGGTTAGAATAAGGGTACCTTTTTTTTACTTTACTTTAGTAGGGGAACCCTCCCCCAAAAAATGGTTGAAGGGCACTATATACTGGGGGACCTAGTCTATCACAAATCGTAAATGGTGAGGAGCATCACTGAGTGTCTGTAACACTGTAGCTGTCAAATATGCATAGTCATGTGCACCAGTATACGTGTGTATATCTACACATTCTATCAGTTTTGATCTACATGCTTCCGTATGCAGTGACGCAAACTGGCGAAAGCCCAAGATGCATTTCTTCTTCGGGTCGAGCGAATGATTCCGCGGTTTTTGAACGAGGCACTTGTTCACCTGCCAATTGGAGATGTGGCGCTCCCGATCTTGCAGGTCCCCCAAGTCGTACATGCCATTGCAAAGCCGCAGGTAACCTAAGCGACTTGAGGCGCCCCCGAGCGGATACAACGTGTGAAAAATCAGAAGCCACAAGTGAGTCACAATCAAAACCCCCGGACTGCCCCTTGCTAATCTCTATCTGCCCGTGGATTGATTTTGGCTCAGTGGATTTATCAGGGATAATCCCAACCCCAGCTTCCGTGCGGCCTGGGCAGCCCATTTCCTGTCCCTGACAGCCTGGCGCGCCCCAGCCTCACAGCCCCCCGCCAGCGTGCGCGCGCGAGCGCTCGCTTCCAAGCAGCACTCGCTGAAGAGGAAGACCTTCAACGGCCGCACAGACCTAAGAGGCCAAGCCTTGCGTTTTGGGAAGCCACGATAACTTCTGTTGGGTGTATTTTTTTGTTTTTATCTTACCTTTGCTTAGGCCCCGTGGGAAAAAAATAAAACATGAACAACGCCCAACAAGGGACACATCTAACCTAATCTTAGGCATGCTGGCAGTCATAGGAATCTGACCCCGGGAAAAGGCGCCGCGGTGTTTCCTTTTGGATTTCCTTGAACACCTTCCCACCCAAGTTTTTTACAAGCGGAATTTATCTATGGGAGAGCCCTTCTTATTGTCCTGCCGGGTGAAAGCCAAGAACCTTGGAAGCAAATTGGGCAAACAATGGCGGCGTGGGTCCCGATGGAAGATTCCTATGTCCGCTGGATGGTCAACATCTGGTAGTTGACGTGATGGTGGATGAGTGTTTGAATGTATTGACCTCCCTCTTCGCAGCACAAACGGTGTCATGAAACCTTCAAAGGAGGTTATGGGGAGGGGGGGCTATCCCTTGTTAACCCCTTACTACTTACTGAGGCCGTACTGAGGGCTTATCCTTGGCTTATCCATGGATAGCCCCAACCCCCCCCCCCTTCAGAGCTTTGCTTGGGGGTCTGTAACTCTGGCCGGCAGGTCATTCGCTGGTATCGCTGCTCCCAAGACCTTCCTGCATTTCCTTCCCCCCCTGCAGATTTTGAGCGTGCCGTTAAGTAGGAATCAGCCCCCCCTAAAAACAAGTTGTTCTGTTGGCTTCCCTTTACACCAATCCCAAAAAAGCTCCGTCGAACAAAAAAACAAAAACAAAACAAAAAACATGCCCATGGTGTTCCTCTGAAAATAAGGGCTAATCCCCCGACAAGTACCGGCAAAAACAACACATGCCCAGGTTGTTTCTCTGAACATAACTCAGTTGTTCAGCGACCCAGGAACAAAAAGGGAACCCTTTTTGGGAAAGACCATGTTTAGTGGGGCAGCCACCAACAAAAATGGAAAAAGGGTGCCACTGAACAACTGAGACAAGGCTGGCGTCTGCATCCAAGTGGCCTTACCAGCACCCACTGCCGGATATCAAACTTCCTGCCGCTGAAGAGAAGCAAAGGCCGCTCGATGTACTTCTGGACAATACGGTTGGGCATGCGCTCGCAATGCTGCCTTGGCCAACCAAACCAATCAAACCACCCAACCAACAACAGTAGAGAGGTTAGAATAAGACTACCAACTTTTTTCTGTAGTCTATTTTAGTAGGGGAACCCTCCCCCCAAAAAAGGGTAAAAAGGGCACTACTGGGGGACCTAGACAACCAACCCCAACCAACCAAACCACCCAACCAACAACCAACCCCACCCAACCAAACCAACCAATCCATGGGTGTTTTCTCCGGCGCCCGTTTTGGGTTCCCAATTTTCGGAGAAACGGATGGGTGTCCGGGGATTGGGTGCAAGCCTTGGACTTTCGCGCAACGAAGAACATGTCTCGGCTGGAAATCATCGAAGTGGTCTCTTAGATGTCTCTTAGAACCCATTTCAGAAGGGTTCTTAGAAGGCTTCTAAGGGGCTGGTGGGCCTGAGGGGCTGAAAACCTTGTCTCCCTGAAAGGAGGTTACATGCCGCCCAACAGCTCCAAGAACCGCTCCGAATATATTTTTTGGATACATCGAGCGCGCCCAAAAAGTTTTGTTGAGGCCGGCCCGCCCTTGGGTCTTCCTCGAGTGGCAGAAGCTGCGGTAGGCTGCGCATGCACTCGATGCCGCTGCCCTTAGAGTTGGTGCCCGGCTTCACGATCCACACGTTTTGGCCCAGCCAGCCCCCTTGCAGGGACCACTGGGGGAAGAGGCCCTCCAGCCTTGCACGCGCAACGGTGCAGGGGGGGGGTTCGGGGGGAAGGGGGAGGGGAAGGACTCGTATATTCGACGGTTGAGGGGCAGTTCACCCCGGGTTCTGAGAATCAACGACTAATCAAAGTGCAGTGTCTATCCTCACTAACCTGTGCCTCAACAAACAAATCCGCGCGTAACTGTCAAGACCTCGTAATGTGGATATCTTGCCAACCATTGGCATGCTAGCAAAAGACGTGCGTGTTTTTTTGCTGCCGCCAACTGAAAATGAACAGAACCAAAAAAAAGACAAAAAGCCTGCCAACAAGAGCAATGGGATACCTCACAAGGATTCGGTCCTCTGCACATTACGCTGAAAAAGGCAGTCGTGACCATGAAAGCGTGTCACTAAAAACATCACTCTTGAGCGCACAACTGTTCTCAGCGTCGAGTCAACTACAAAAGGCGCAACACACCGGGGCGAACTACTACCCTCCCATCCACCAGCGTGGAACCTCACAGAAAAAATATGGAAGACAATTATTCTTCTAAAGGGACCCCTAATGGATTCCATGGCAACGTGGACTTAATTGGCCAAAACACATGTGCAAACAAAGCAAATGACGTATGAACGCTGGCACTTGTCTATGACCCAGGGGTAACTTAACAACTTGTCCCGGTCCCTGGTACCCTCTGAGGTACTCAAAACCCCCTCCAAAAGCCATCCTGTAATGTTGCACCTGGTTCAAATTCGGTAGTCTGAATTCTGTCAAGTTTCCCCGGCTTGAACACGACCCCTCCACTGTTTCGGTACCATGATTTATATCAAGTTCAGACCCCAAACAATTCCCGGACCAAAAAATCTGAGCAACAATCTGAGTGGTGGGTGGATTAGGAATCCCCAGGTCAAATCTTAGCCTCTTGATTTCAAAGGGGCTCCATGTCTAAAAGCTTCGCAAGGGACCAGGCCAAGACCTGAGCCGAAGAGTTCCGGGTTTGGTCCTAAGCCCCAAACATCAAAATTCCTGGATTGATTTAAGTAGTGGCAATCCAAAAGAAAGTGCTGGCAATACTAAACTAAGTAGTGGCAATACTAAAGCAATACTTGAGTCATCCAAGCTCCCTGCCAGATCCTGATTCAGGATCCTTGAGCACTACTGTTTTGACTGTTTAGGGGGGGGCTCAGTAAACAAGGTCCAACGTTACCAAAAAAAAGCCTCTGAGTTGTCCCTTAAGACTTTGGTTGACGTTGGAAGGGGAGCAAAAAAACAAATAGCAGTTAAGTGGGGATTTCCCACTAAACCACAATAAGCAAACATGTAAAATGATTCCCAACAACAACCATGAAGAGCCCACTGGATTGAACTCCTTGGAGGTCACCTCTCATCAACTTTGACCCCGCTCAAAACGAAAGCCATCCTTAGGATCCTCCTTGGGAGCTCATTGGCTCAAGAAAAAAACCTTAGGAGCCATCCTTAGGAGCTATCCTGGCATCCTTAGGAGCGGATTGATCCCTTAAAAAACAAAAAACCAAAACAAAACAAAAGCCATCCTTAGGAGCTCATTGGCATAATCTCCGATCAAACACCTGCTCCTCAGACTCCTCAGACCCGCCTGGTCAGCACGTCTTCCAAGCGGTTGTGACTCTCGTCATCCAGTGTGCCCCAGCGGTGGCTGATAAACTCAGGCCATTCCTGGAGCATTGGCTCCTGGCAAAAGCACCGGCATCCACAGGTGGGCAATAACCTTGCGACTTCTGCCAGCGGGGTTTCCGACTCAAAAAGATGGGCTCCTCAGTTGTTCAGTGACCCTGGGAAAAAAAAGGGAACCCTTTTTCGGGAAGACCATTTTCAGTGGGGCAGCCACCAAAAAAGGAAAACGGGTGCCACTGAACAACTGAGGCTCTCTACGCAAATCACATGCTTCGAGGCTTGAAGATAGAGGTAGCTCACAGCCAGGAGGCAAATCATTTCAGGGCGACCGATGGACCCATGGAGACGCCAATGTTGCTCACTCAGCACCGTGAGCCACCAACAAGGGCGTGACTCAAAAATGGGGGTCCAAAATGGAACCCTGGTACGTAGAACGGTAGACTACAACCTGCGTAACCCCAGCTGTTTAATTTGAGCCACACCCACAAGATGCTCAATTCCAAAAACTGAGGGGATACATTTCTCCAACACTCATGTGGCGAGAGGGAGACAAGGGGAGAGAGCTTTCATGGGCAGGTCGTCTCATGTTTTCCGAAATGTGGGAAACATACACGAGCTGCGCCCAACATCCACTGACTGGAGTTGCTACCAAACAAGACGTGACAGTTTCTATAAATTCTCGCTGAGCCTCTTTCCGGGGTGTTGACCTCCATTTACAAGCCTTCAGGCTTGCCATCCTTTTCGGGCAGCCTTCCTCGACTTAGATCCTGGGTTCCCAGATTTTTTTGGCCGTGCTTTTCATCACTTCCAGGATTCCAGAGTCCACATTCTATGTTGGCCACTCAAATGGCCCAACCCCAATGGCTAAAGCCCATGAACTCGGGAAGTGCTGTTCATATGAAGAGACGACCCCAAAGCTCTAAGAGCCTACCACTCAGCAATCCGCGCCTCTTCACCTTTCCGCTTTCGCTTCGCGAGGCGGGAAAGGATCTGGGATTGGTCCAGGTCGCTGTAGAGCAGGAGAGCATCCCAAGTCTCCTTCGTGCAACAAACATGACCCAATGGTTACAGAATGAGTTTTAAGTGGAACAATAATTGAGAATTGGGTCCGGGGATTGGTGATTGACACACCTAACGACTACTTGTGCGACTGCAGCGTTCTAGCGCACTAAGGCTTCCGGCTCAAGTTCTATCGTGCCTCTTTCCGTCTGTCAGGAAAGGTATTCGGCCTTCGGCGAAAGGGTAAAGAATGGATCTGCCTAGGATGTTCGACGCGCGCGACTGGCTGACACGGGCCAAAGCCAAACAGTTCTGAATTTGGACGGCCCAGCATTCCTGCGCGGGTCCGAAAACAGGGTTTAGGTCTACGTGGGTGAGGGAAAAAGATTGGTCAACCCCCTTTGTGGTCTTCATGGCAGCATGTTGAGAGGACAAACCCCGCATTTCCTTGCCATGTAAATGGTTCGGTGGCTTGCCTTACTGCCAGTGCTTTGCCAGGCCCAATGCGCCCAAGTCCATGTGAAGAATTCGCCCGAATCTCATTGTTGACTTCTGTCACCCCCGTGGCGTGAACAAAAACGATGTCCATTTGCTTGATTTGCTTTCTCAGTTCTTCAGTGACCCTGGGAAAAAAAGGGACCCCTTGTTGGGGCTTGGACCATTTTAGTGGGGCAGCCACCGAAAAAAATGGAAAAACATGGAGCCACTGAACAACTGAGTTTTATGTTCCCCTGTTGGCCCTAGGAATCTATCACTACTGGGCATGTTTTCCAGGGAACTTAATAAGCAAATGGAACTAAAGTCTATAGCAGGGTGTGTTCATAACCTGGACCTTATGTTTGTTCATAACCTGGACCTTACGTTTGCCAAGTGCTGTGTTGCAGCATCGAGTAAAGCAGTTGACACTCAAGGGCAAACACATAGTTTTAGCAGGGAACTATATCTATTTACCAACACATGTTTGGTGCTGACACATGTGTTGGTGCTGGTTCAACCTGCTTCTGGGTCGATGCATTCGAAGTTGGAGTTAGACATGTTGTTCGTGCAAAGATGTCTCGAACCCCTTTCATGCTTCTCAAACCTCTCCGCTACTCTAAACCATTTTAATGTTGTCGAATTCCTGAAACAAAGCAACGTGTAAACACGCGGTGCGAAACGGGTAACTGGTGTGACGGCATGCGTCGCGCTTTGCGGCGCGTGAAATACTCAATGCACCTTCAGTTCAAGCACCTGAATCACATTTGACACGGCTTCCATTATGCATGTTGTTCCATGTGTTGTTTCTATTCCTTCGCTGTTCTAGGTCCACCAGAGAGGTTACAAGGGTACCGTTTCTTTTTTCAGGACGTCTATTTTAGTAGAACCCTCCCAACCAAGTTGGTGAGAGGTCGGGCACCAATTGCTGGGGGACCTGGAATTCCATGGCGCATCTCGGGCAAGGTTTGCCTTGGTTCCTCACTGTGCTCGCTGCCCTCCGCTGATCGGATCCAAATTTCCCATGCCATTCCTTCCAATCTCCCCCGCGGTGGAAAAAAGTGCACCGGGTGGCACTGTGCAACTGCTCTGTTTTGAGTGGGGCATCTCTGGTTTTGCCCAAGGTCCTCCAGATTTGAGAGGTTAGAACAAGGCTACCCACCTTTCTTCAGGACGCCTATTTTAGTAGGGGAAGCCTCTCCAAAAAAACACGTGAGAACGGGCACTGCGGGACCTCGCCAAGGAGGAAGAAAAAAAATCGGCGCCGCGACGTCTCCCATGTCCCACTCCTCGGAGAAGCTTCGGGGCTCCTGGGGAAGACACAAAAAAGCACCGAGCCAAGCACAAGAACTTTCATGCACTCATACCCTGCAAACCTTCACGGAACCCAAGAGGGCCCCCCCAGAAAAAAAGAAGAAGGGGGAAACACAAACAAAAAGAAGCAAAGTTCCCGTGCTGAAACGCTGGGAGTAACTTGTTGACATCGTTTCATCATTGATGCCAAGTTCTGCCCATGTCTAAACAACAATAGGGCATTACGGGTGTCGCTTTGACATGGGACCATAAGGCCTTGCATTGGCACCAACTATGATGCCTAGGAACTTGGGGGTCACCAATAAAAAAGACGCATCCCATATATCTGCAACAACATCTCATGATGCCAATGCCTGATTCAAAACAACGTCATGAAAGGACCCTCCGTCGCAGGCGAGAAGGTCATCGTGCTTACCCCAGCTTGCCCATGATTTTGGCAGACGTAAGCCGCCATTGGCCCCAACACAAATATGGGTGGTTTCTTGATGGGCATGGAACCTTCAAACTGATTGGGCCTCCTTTGATTTTCCTTTGAACACCTGCTAGACGCACAACTATGTCCAGCAGTGATAGATTCCCCGAAAAACCAGCCGGGGAAAGCAAACAATATTCTTGGAGCAATTGGAAGATACTTTGCCAAGCTTTTGGTTTGCTAAACATTCATTCCAAAGGTCAACTGTCTTGATATTACATACGTACATGGGTGCACCTCGGAATAGGGGACCCCCATAATGGTGGCCTCATTCCACTATGCAGGGAAATGGTAGTGTACAGCCCTGATATGGCGTAGCCATAACTTAACTTGCTAAAAATAGCTAGTTTGGTGGGTGAGCACTCTCTTGGAAGGTTGCTCTTCTTTCGGTGCCAGCACAGGGTACTGAAAGCCCGCGTTTTGGGTGCTCTGAATTCGTGCAGATGAGGTCATAGATTGCCTTCGGTGGAGTAATTATTCAGCAAACACTGTGAGCAACAGGTCAATGTCCAGTGTATACCCTCCCCAAAACAAGACATGAGATGAAATTGACGGAACTTGGCGGAATGCCAAGACACAGTCCCCTGGAAAGAACACATATTTCCAGTATGGTGACAGATTCCCACCAAAACCAACAAGGGAGAAACAACACAGCGTTCGGCAAATGAAAGCTCCCCTCCCAACAATGGTAGAATCCTGGCTCCCAAACAATGAAACCAGCAAATGGACAATCCCCTCCTGGCCCCCCGGTCCCCACCCCAACCCCACCCCAACCCCAACCACACCCCTAAGGCTCTATAAAACCAACAAGGGAGAAGGAATCATATTCTTCAGAAACATACTTCTCCAGTAGCGATGCTTGCCCTACAAACCCAACAAGAGGATAATTTAACATATTCAGCAAATCTAGTGCTAGATTCCCACAAAAACCAACAAGGAGGAGAGAACATGCATATTTTCCTTCCCCCCCACCCCGCCCCGCACCCCACCCCAACCCACCCCTTCCCACCCCACCCGCCCAAAGCCCAAAGCCCACTGCTCCTTGCCCTCCTCATCCAGGTGCTCGGGGTCCAGATCCAGCACCCAGCGCGTCAACACAGAGCCGCAGGCGCGCACCAAGGTCTCGTTGCACCTGAACAAAAACTGGACCAACTGTGGGTCTGGCCCCCGTCAGTGCCTTTTGTTTATTGTTTATTTGTTTTTTTTGCGGGGGGAAACCACAGGGGGAACCAAAAGGAAAGCCAAAGAGAACTCCCCCCTCCCCGTTTTGGTCGACTTCCACCGCAAGAAAAGTAGAACACAGACCTATGATGTAATTTGGCTTCCACTTTGGGTGTGGTAACTTATTGTGTCGGCACCACTTTTTGGTGGGTTTCTTAGAAGAAACCGAAAGGAAAACCAAACGGAACACGGCAATTTGGGGGCGTGGCTCCTTTTTGGTTGAGTCGGCACCGCTTTCTTTTTTTGGGGGGGACCAAAAGAAAAACCAAAAGGACACCCCTGTTTTGGAGTGGAACCCCCTTTTCTGTTTTTGAGAAGAAACCAACAGGAAAGCCCGAAGCGCTGATTTTTTTGGGGGGGGAGGCGGGTCCACTTGAAAAAGACAAGGCTCCCATTTGGAGCTGCGGCACCTTCTAATTTGGCCCGAAAGCGGAGCCGAGATGTAAACATGTCCGAAACCGAGCGCCTTCCCGTTCTTCACAGCCCTTGGTAGGGTAGCAGCAAACGTTGTTTCTTGCAGCCCCCTTCTAAAAATGAACACAACCCAAAGACCAAAATAACAAACCACCTGCCAAGAATGGACTTGGGGTGTCGGATGTCGACCGCTCGGCTGGTCAGCGCTCGCAAGTTGCTGCCAGCGAACGTTCGAGCAGGCAGGTGCAGGCTCCGTCGACATACTTCTATGCTTGGGTTGTTTTCTGTTGGTTACAAGCACCAAAGGCGTTCAAACTTGCCAAACTCTGAAGAGATATCTATCGCCGCAGAAACTGTCAAAATCAGCCATATCTTCGCATTCCTTTTGAGGCCAAAGATAAAGCAAATCTTTTGGGATTTGTTGGTTGTTCTTCTGCCACCTGCTTTGGGAACACATACCCGTTTTGTGCTGCTCCTTGTAATTCCAAAACAAAGACCGCTCTGGCAAATCATCCACTTGCATAGATCCTCGCCAACCCTGACCGCGCTGCTCACGAACCTGTCGTCTACTACCACATGAGCCCTATACTGAACCCAAAAAACGCCAAGAGCAGTGAAGGAATCCTCACGATTTGCGTAGAGGTTCATGGAGCGAACTTTGTGTCGAGCTGCTGGTAGGTCGTATTCACGCCATCCTGGCAAATGCATCGGAACATCGTTGCCGGGGTTGGTTAAGCCACTTGCCGTTAAGCTCAAAGGATTCCCTTGCTTACCTACAAAACAGGGAAATGGGAGTGTGTCAAAATATGGGGACTCCCCAATGTGGTTGTTTCCCCTTGGACCAACCCCAAAAGGCCTCAAAACGAAACACACCCAGATGGAATCACTGGGAAAATGTTGTGTTCTCTCTTTCTCGTTCATCCAGCAATTCTAGAATCTGGAGACGACACGAGAAAGAGAAATACAACCACAGGAAGCGTTGTTCGAGAAGACATGGCGAACCCAGCGGGTCCCTTGGTACCCTTAGAGGATGATGTTTTGGGGGTCAAGCGGGGTGAAACAACGCCTCTGTACAGGGTATTTAGATCTGCTCAGATAGCAGCATTACTGCTGGCGTCTCTGGACACTTTACCTAATATCAGTCTGCGAAAAACAAGGCAAACAAAACTTTAGATACTTGGGGAAAACTCTAGTCTGGGAAAAAAGAGTCCAAACTTTAGCTTTTTCCTGGGCCTTTTTCCTGGGAAACACAAAACGCACAACAGGAAAAAACAACAACTGGACAAACACAACCGACAAAGCTTTATCAGGAAAAAACAAAACTGAAGAGCAGAAAACAAAAACTGTAAAAGCAGAAAACAGAAAGAACACACTACAAGGAGATTTTGCAAACCACAAGAACCAGAATCATTCCTTCTTAAGATCGCAAAACTGAGGCAGTTGACTCTGACTCCAGCACAAAACCTCATGGGCAAAAAGCCAAAAGCAGGTGACACACTCAAGTGGCCAGTCAAACATATTTCCAGTAGTGATGAATTCATTTTAAGACCAACAAGGGAAAATAACAAACATATCTCGGTTGCTTTCTGCTCCCCTGCTAAAAGTTTAACTTTTAGTGGTTTGATAGAAACCCACTAGTTGGCAACAAGTTAAAGTCCTAACATGCAAGCAAAATGCACCAAAGATATTCTTAAGCAAATGGAGGAAGAACAGAAAGAAAACACCAGCTCCCACAGTCCGCTGGAAGAACACGGAAAACGCAAAACATCCTCTGGCCCAGGTGGGTGGCTCCTTGCTTCGCCCCCGCCTGCTGGTCCCGATGTAGGCGCCGATGCAGCAGCGCCACTTTCAGGGCCGCGCAGCGACGGAAGTCCAAGACGAAGTCCTCGCGTTGGTGACGACTCGGGGGGTCCAAGCCCAGCAACCGAAAAGCTGGGTTGGTTTCCTGCAAGAAAACACAGTGACTTGGGTCGTATCCTTATTTTTGTTGTTATCCTTTCACTTTTTTGCTAAAACAAATTACACATGCTTCATGTTTGTGGGCTTGTTGTTATGTGTTTTTTGTGGGGTCAAGACATAACCACTGTGTTGAGTTTAACGAATAAGAAAGTGCTGTTTTGTGTTGCTTCTTTTGGTGGGGAGTCACAACTACAAACATGTGTGGTTTGTTTGACCATTCCTTTGAGGCGTTGATTCCAGATTCAGAGAACCACAAAACAAAACGGGGGAAACCATGGTGCCCAGTCCAAGGACATATCTGGGTGGACCCCTGGCCTTTTCCCAGATCCTTATGGAATCCCAAGCGATTCCCGGTAAGAGTGCATGGTTCCAAGGGTTGATTCCTTTTCCACTCTTTTCAACCATCGTTCTTTTTAAAAACCGGATCCGTTTCCCGGGGTTTCCGGAGGTTTTCCTAGAAAGATTCGGATCCTTGGAAAGAATGGAAATGGAAGGTAGCGCTAGAATGTTGCAGGCGAGGACATTCATCGAACAGGCCCTGCCAACCAAAAAACTCCCCCCTGCCCCCCTCCCCCCCTGCCCCCTCCCCCCTCCCCCCCCTCCCCCTCCCCCCTCCCCCTCCCCCCCTCCCCCCCTCCCCCCTCCCCCTCCCCCCTCCCCCTCCCCCCCTCCCCCCTCCCCCTCCCCCCTCCCCCTCCCCCTCCCCCTCCCCCTCCCCCTCCCCTCCCCCCTCCCCCCTCCCCCCCCCCCCTCCCCCCTCCCCCTCCCCCCGGCACATCATCATGGACCCCCCAGGAGGGCTGGGAGCGGGGGAGGGAGTTCGCTGGAAAAGCCCATGGGTTTCATAAGTCCTAGTCCCCCTCGTAGCCCCCCTTGCGGGTCCAATGAACAACCAACAGCATGTGATAAGCTACTTTACCTACTTGGTAAAACCAATGATCTTCAGCACGTGAAAGCAAAATTCATATCGCAAAAGCCTCAAGCCGTATCATCCCCATTCTCTTCAGGAATCCTTCTCTTCAGAAAATGGTCAAAACCCTAGACAAACGAGTGGTGTCTGAGAACCCGCACTGAAAAGGATCCGGAAAATCAGGCCTCAGTGCCTAGGTTCTCCAGCAGAGAGGTTAGAAAAAAGGTACCCACTTTTTCTCTGTAGTCTATTTTAGTAGGGGCACCCTCCCCCAAAAAAAGGGGGTGATAAAGGGCACCTAGCTAGGGGACCGAGTTGTGCTTCTCGCCCTTCCACGTCCTCCCCCGGACACGTCGGGCCTCCCGCTCGCTCTTCCCGCTCAAGTCGTAGCATCGCGGGAAGAAGGCGTCCGCGTTGACGCCGCCCAGGGAATGCTCCTTGAGGCACCTAAGTTCCATCAAGAAATCCCGCAGTTCTCTATGAATTCGGACACCCGCGCAAGACAAGGCAGCCCTTGGTAAGTCGACCCCTTTTAAAACAGGGGTCCTTACATTATACACCTGAACATTGCCTTGTAAATGGTGGTTTCCCTTTATTTTGGTGGAAAAAGCCATGTTTCAAACGGGCAAAATGTATCTTCTCAGGAGCCCTGCTTTGAACCCACCAAAAAGAACCAAAGGCTACGTTCACACCCTCTGGGAAACTAAGGCTTTTCGCTAACTGCCTGGAGAACTTTCAGCTGGTTTGTGCGAATCAGGCAGCAACATGTTTTGAGAACCGTTCATACCTTTTACACATACCAACCGTTGCTTACATGCGTACTCAAAAGGTATGGTGACTGGAACCGTGAGTGACAAGGGCGCCAAGCTGAGACAGCAGCAAACTTTGCAGAGTCGATTTGCCAATCCGCCCGAGAAAACAAATAAGCCCAGAAATGGGGAGGGGGGGTGGGCGTTTTAGGGGTGCCCCCAAAAGGCTTCGGTTTTGCTGTTGGTTTCCCATTCAATCCACCCAACAAGGGCTCCCTCAAGAAATGCACACACTCACTTCCTGAGTGGATGGGCCAAACAAAAGTCTCAACAACTTGTTTTACAACTAGAATAGTCTCCCCAAAAAGTTTAAAGTCCAGCAACTCACGAAGTGAGCACATGTGTGTTCAGCTCGAAGAGCAGATGCCCAAGAAGACTTGTATACAAGGCCTTTGATACCAGAATCATAACCACATGAGGACACATCAATGGCTGAACAGTAAGGGCCAAAGCTCCCGCCAGGGCTTTAGAGAAGAAAGCAGTAAAACGCGGATCCATTGCTGGTGTGTGAAAGCTAGGGGCTCGTTTGACCAACTTGGCTATCTAGCAAATGTTCTTAAGCAACAAAACTAAAAACACATCCAGTAGTGATAGATTCCCTTTAAAACCAGCAAGGGAAAACAAACAAATGTTCATTTCAGCAAATAGATGGCTTCCCAAACCCCTTTTTGTTTGAAGCGTCGAGGCACTGTGCGAGGCCTGCCTTGGTGGTGAGGATGCGGTTCCTTAGGTGATCCCTATG